TAGCTTATATAAAACAAAGTTTTGCCGATTTTGATAAAAGAAAAAAATATTTATGAACTTTAAAAACATTTCCGGAAAGTCCGTTTGCATAAGAACTATACTATATAATGGAGCAATTCTCACCAAATGTCCATATTCTTTTATCTATATAAACCAATGTGCCAAAAATATGTTCAAAATTGCGACTTGCACTCATACAAACACATTTTACATTAAGTCACGGAAAGAGGGAATAAAAATAATTTTTTTAGAATTGTCTTAAAAAATTTATTTTTATTCCAAAATTTGTTATTCCTGTAAAAATAACTAAACAAATAGCACGATATTAGTGAAAGCTCAATATGTATGAATACGGTCAATTTAATACTAGTTTGTTCAGACAATCGAACAAATCGATCAGCAAAACTAAAATAATTAACAAATCTCAGCAAATTTTGCAATAAGCGTTGATAAGAATTACATTACAATGTTGCAATCAAAACAAAACCGCGAAAACATATAAATAAATTGACATGGGATAAGGATTAAAGTTAAATTAAATTAAAATAAATTAAATTAACCCAGCAAAAACTGAGCAATAACTTGTACCTACATAACCACTTACTTTTCAATGACTACTACATACCATTCGCATTATTTTTAAAAACTCTTATAATGTTATTCAGATACCTAAGAGTTTTGCCATTTTATTTGCACATTTTATGTGAACGCACAGAAAGAAAATTTATAAGTACTTATTTAAGTAGTTATTTATAAATGAGCATGGTAAGTACGTGCATGCAATGTCATGAGTTAAAATGCTAATGAATTTGGAGTGCGGGCCTCTTTCTTAGCTTTTTAACTAATAAATTTTCAATGCAATTTTTTGCTGGGTATTAGTTTTAAAAATATTAATCGAATTATTAACCACACATTAATTCATTGCGTTTCCAGATTAATTGCACAATAAAACAGTAACCGCATAAAAAGGTTGGTAAACAAAATAGCATTACAATGTTGCTAATTAGCAACAGAAAATATTTGTATAGGGTGATTTGGTACATATGGTAAGGAACTAACAATCTAACTAACTAACTAACTACTAACTAACTAACTAACTAACTAACTAACTAACTAACTAACTAACTAACTAACTAACTAACTAACTAACTAACTAACTAACTAACTAACTAACTAACTAACTACTAACTAACTAACTACCTAACTAACTAACTACTAACTAACTAACTAACTAACTAACTAACTAACTACTAACTAACTAACTACTAACTAACTAACTAACTAACTAACTAACTAACTAACTAACTAACTAACTAACTAACTAACTAACTAACTAACTACTAACTAACTAACTAACTAACTAACTAACTAACTAACTAACTAACTAACTAACTAACTAACTAACTAACTAACTAACTAACTAACTAACTAACTAACTAACTAACTAACTAACTAACTAACTAACTAACTAACTAACTAACTAACTAACTAACTAACTACTAACTAACTAACTAACTAACTAACTACTAACTAACTAACTAACTAACTAACTAACTAACTAACTAACTAACTAACTAACTAACTACTAACTAACTAACTAACTAACTACTAACTAACTAACTAACTAACTACTACTAACTAACTACTAACTAACTAACTAACTAACTAACTAACTAACTAACTACTAACTAACTAACTAACTAACTAACTAACTAACTACTAACTAACTAACTAACTAACTAACTACTAACTAACTAACTAACTAACTAACTAACTAACTAACTAACTAACTAACTAACTAACTAACTAACTAACTAACTAACTAACTAACTAACTAACTAACTAACTACTAACTAACTAACTAACTAACTAACTAACTAACTAACTAACTAACTAACTAACTAACTAACTAACTAACTAACTAACTAACTAACTAACTAACTAACTAACTAACTAACTAACTAACTAACTAACTAACTAACTAACTAACTAACTAACAACTAACTAACTAACTAACTAACTAACTAACTAACTAACTAACTAACTAACTACTAACTAACTAACTAACTAACTAACTAACTAACTAACTAACTAACTAACTAACTAACTAACTAACTAACTAACTAACTAACTAACTAACTAACTAACTAACTAACTAACTAACTAACTAACTAACTACTAACTACTAACTAACTAACTAACTAACTAACTAACTAACTAACTAACTACTAACTAACTAACTAACTAACTAACTAACTAACTAACTAACTAACTAACTAACTAACTAACTAACTAACTAACTAACTACTAACTAACTAACTAACTAACTAACTAACTAACTACTAACTAACTAACTAACTAACTAACTAACTAACTAACTAACTAACTAACTAACTAACTAACTAACTAACTAACTAACTACTAACTAACTAACTAACTAACTAACTAACTAACTAACTAACTAACTACTAACTAACTAACTAACTAACTAACTAACTAAACTAACTAACTAACTACTAACTAACTAACTAACTAACTAACTAACTAACTAACTAACTAACTAACTAACTAACTAACTAACTAACTAACTAACTAACTAACTAACTAACTAACTACTAACTAACTAACTAACTAACTACTAACTAACTAACTAACTAACTAACTAACTAACTAACTAACTACTAACTAACTAACTAACTACTAACTAACTAACTAACTAACTAACTAACTAACTAACTAACTAACTAACTAACTAACTAACTAACTAACTAACTACTAACTAACTAACTAACTAACTAACTAACTAACTAACTAACTAACTAACTAACTAACTAACTAACTAACTAACTAACTAACTAACTAACTAACTACTAACTAACTACTAACTAACTAACTACTACTAACTACTAACTAACTACTAACTAACTAACTACTAACTAACTAACTAACTAACTAACTAACTAACTAACTAACTAACTAACTAACTAACTAACTAACTAACTAACTAACTAACTAACTAACTAACTAACTAACTAACTAACTAACTAACTAACTAACTAACTAACTAACTAACTAACTAACTAACTAACTAACTAACTAACTAACTAACTAACTAACTAACTAACTAACTAACTAACTAACTAACTAACTAACTAACTAACTAACTAACCACTTTCTGATTGGATTTTCCTGTGTCCGTCTGTCCGTCCTTGTTTGCACTCTACACAATCAAATGCGAATAATCAACGGTCCATAAAAGGTCAATGCTGCTATATAAAGGGGATGTAGACAGTTGTGCACAAGGTTTTCATGGCCACACATACGAACGGACATGGCTAAACAGACTAAGAAATGAATAACAGACTCAATTGAATTTTATATAAAAAGACATCTTTAGAATTGACTCATCTGCATCAGTTTCATACGACTTTAAAATTTGTTTGGGTCGGTCCATAATTAACCCTACCCCCCATAGCAGGGGTTTAAAAAATGAGCAAAAATATTTTGCTTTTAAAAATAATTATTTTATTAATTCAAAAAAGCTCGGTCTATAATTGACGTATATTATATTCCAAATATCACTCTGATGATAATAGGTCAGCATACGGTGGGTATATGAGATTCGGCATAGCTGAATATAATACTCTCACTTGTTTCAACTAAAGTCAACAGTTTTTTATTTTTGCATGTGTGTAATTGTGATTTCTTATCTTAAACTTTTTGTATGTGGTTTCTTTATAAGATTATTAGTTATGTTGAGTATGTATGCATTCAGTTGAGATGATTCCTAAATAAACCAGTAAGAGTTGTATATTCGAACGAACCCAGTAAAATATTTTGGTAATGAGTATAGTAGGTAATGTAGTTATTTCATACATTACTTGGTAGTGAGTGGTCGTTATCAATAACAATGATTGATTTCTTGAAATAGGATTTGTAGCCAATTGTCTATAGCATATGTCTAATAAAGAAATAGTTAGTGGTTCTAACACTAGTCGATATTAGACGTTTTTTTTTAAGAAATATTGATTTTTACATTTGTGAAGAAACCAATTCAGATAGAATGATAAAATAACTTGTTAATAGAGCACTGAGTAAGAGAATAAACTAATAAACATAGAAAATAATTGTAAAACCGGTTTTAAATTCGGAAAAGAGGGTAAGCACATTTGTAAACAGTTATTTTTTGGTCATCGTCGAACAAAAATAAGTAGTTATTCACCCTAAAAGAAAGTACTTACACTTTGCTCCAATATTACTTGCCTACTTACCGGGTAAGTAAAGATTTTGCTGGGAATATACAACTCTATATTATAGAAATTACAAACGGTATGACTAAATATTATTTCACCTATACCCCATGCAACCATACCTCCCGAATAGGGCTTTTGAGGTAATAGCTATTGAAAAAAAACTTAGTTTTATATAATTCCAAATGATACTGCCGATTTTCATAATTGATCAGGATTGTTTGTGATTGGTGTTGTTTAATATGCGAGAGTATTGTTTTAACAAATATACATACATATACATGTATATGTATGTATTAAAGGGTGGGTCGAAAATACGCTTTTATCTCGAATCAACTTGTAATAGTGAAATTATAATGTATTTCAACGTCAAATGGAAGACTGTAAAATATTATTTAATTATTTTTGAGGGAAAGAGCCTGCACATGGGAAAAAATGGCGCTTTTTCGAATTTGTTTCGAAATTTTGGCGGCGTTACGTGGTCTCTTCCCATAAATAAAATTAAATAACTTCTTTACAGTCTTTCATTTGACGTTAAAATACAACATAATTTTACTATTAAAAGTTGATTCGAGTGAAAAGCGTATTTTCGACCCACCCTATTGTAATATGTACATAATAATAATTAAAATTAAAAATCTTATAATGAAACCACATAGAAAAAAGTTTAAGATAAACAATCACATACAAACAAAAATAACAACTTGCTGACTTTAGTTTAAAGTTTAAACGAAATATTTCAAACAGTTGAAAGTGGTGCGTCAAAAGAAGTGGTTTGTTTTAATAATATTAACAACGAGAGCAAGATCAGAAATAAATCAAAAGATTTTTAATAAATTCTACAATCGAACAAATTTTAAAGCTATTTAATACTGATACAGGTGAGTCAATTTAAATTTTATTGATGTCGTTTTTATACAAACTTTAAAAGCTAATAATATAGGAAATATTTTAAATAAAAAAAATGTTTTACGTTATCGTAGTACCAGATCCATTATGAAATATCCATATTTTATATAAAATGTAAATTTAGGGCAAAAATTCTTAAATCACTTTCTGTGTCGATTCAGCCACGTCCGTCCGTATGTGTGTCCATGTAGACATTGTGCGCAACGTATTACATGCCCTTTATATGATTTTTGACCCTACAAAATATTTATATCCATTTCAACTTCGGATTGATGCTTCTGAAATTTGGTGTAAAATTACGACCTTAAAAGATTAACTTTTCAAAATCTAGGGAATATTTTCTTGATTTATCGTGGTAATTATTAACAACCCAAGTGATCAGCACGACAAAAAACACTACCCCATCGAGAAATACCCCATATTAATCGTAAAAGGGACAATTCAATTTTGAGCTTAAAAAATATAAAATCTCAGACTGTCACAATAAGTAGCTAAAACATCGAGACTAGACTATAGACTAGACTATGGACTAGACTATAGACTAGACTATAGACTAGACTATAGACTAGACTATAGACTAGACTATAGACTAGACTATAGACTAGACTATAGACTAGACTATAGACTAGACTATAGACTAGACTATAGACTAGACTATAGACTAGACTATAGACTAGACTATAGACTAGACTATAGACTAGACTATAGACTAGACTATAGACTAGACTATAGACTAGACTATAGACTAGACTATAGACTAGACTATAGACTAGACTATAGACTAGACTATAGACTAGACTATAGACTAGACTATAGACTAGACTATAGACTAGACTATAGACTAGACTATAGACTAGACTATAGACTAGACTATAGACTAGACTATAGACTAGACTATAGACTAGACTAGACTATAGACTAGACTAGACTATAGACTAGACTAGACTATAGACTAGACTATAGACTAGACTATAGACTAAACTATAGACTAAACTATAGACTAGACTAGACTAGACTAGACTAGACTATATTAGACTAGACTAGACTATAGACTAGACTATAGACTAGACTATATACTACACTATAGACTAGACTATAGACTAGACTATAGACTAGACTATAGACTAGACTATAGACTAGACTATAGACTAGACTATAGACTAGACTATAGACTAGACTATAGACTAGACTATAGACTAGACTATAGACTAGACTATAGACTAGACTATAGACTAGACTATAGACTAGACTATAGACTAGACTATAGACTAGACTATAGACTAGACTATAGACTAGACTATAGACTAGACTATAGACTAGACTAGAGACTAGACTATAGACTAGACTAGACTATAGACTAGACTATAGACTAGACTATAGACTAGACTATAGACTAGACTATAGACTAGACTATAGACTAGACTATAGACTAGACTATAGACTAGACTATAGACTAGACTATAGACTAGACTATAGACTAGACTATAGACTAGACTATAGGCTAGACTATAGACTGGACTATAGACTAGACTATAGACTAGACTAGACTATAGACTATACTATAGACTATACTATAGACTAGTCTATAGTCTAGTCTATGGTCTAGTCTATAGACTAGACTATAGACTAGACTATAGACTAGACTACATACTAGACTATAGACTAGACTATAGACTAGACTATAGACTAGACTATAGACTAGACTATAGACTAGACTATAGACTAGACTATAGACTAGACTATAGACTAGACTATAGACTAGACTATAGACTAGACTATAGACTAGACTATAGACTAGACTATAGACTAGACTATAGACTAGACTATAGACTAGACTATAGACTAGACTATAGACTAGACTATAGACTAGACTATAGACTAGACTATAGACTAGACTATAGACTAGACTATAGACTAGACTATAGACTAGACTATAGACTAGACTATAGACTAGACTATAGACTAGACTATAGACTAGACTATAGACTAGACTATAGACTAGACTATAGACTAGACTATAGACTAGACTATAGACTAGACTATAGACTAGACTATAGACTAGACTATAGACTAGACTATAGACTAGACTATAGACTAGACTATAGACTAGACTATAGACTAGACTATAGACTAGACTATAGACTAGACTATAGACTAGACTATAGACTAGACTATAGACTAGACTATAGACTAGACTATAGACTAGACTATAGACTAGACTATAGACTAGACTATAGACTAGACTATAGACTAGACTATAGACTAGACTATAGACTAGACTATAGACTAGACTATAGACTAGACTATAGACTAGACTATAGACTAGACTATAGACTAGACTATAGACTAGACTATAGACTAGACTATAGACTAGACTATAGACTAGACTATAGACTAGACTATAGACTAGACTATAGACTAGACTATAGACTAGACTATAGACTAGACTATAGACTAGACTATAGACTAGACTATACTATATAGACTAGACTATAGACTAGACTATAGACTAGACTATAGACTAGACTATAGACTAGACTATAGACTAGACTATAGACTAGACTATAGACTAGACTATAGACTAGACTATAGACTAGACATATAGACTAGACTATAGACTAGACTATAGACTAGACACTAGAACTAGACTATAGACTAGACTTAGACTAGACTATAGACTAGACTAGACTAGACTAGACTAGACTAGACTAGACTAGACTAGACTAGACTAGACTAGACTAGACTAGACTATAGACTAGACTAGACTAGACTAGAACTAGACTAGACTAGACTAGACTAGACTAGACTAGACTAGACTAGACTAGACTAGACTAGACTAGACTGACTAGACTAGACTAGACTAGACTAGACTAGACTAGACTATAGACTAGACTAGACCGATAGACTAGACTATAGACTAGAACTAACTAGACTAGACTAATGACTAGACTATAGAACTAGACTATACAGACTAGACTAGACTAGACTAGACTAGACTATAGACTAGGACTATAGACTAGACTATAGACTAGACTAGACTATAGACTAAACTATAGACTAGACTATAGACTAACTATAGACTAGACTATAGACTAGACTATAGACTAGACTATAGACTAGACTATAGACTAGACTATAGACTAGACTATAGACTAGACTATAGACTAGACTATAGACTAGACTATAGACTAGACTATAGACTGGACTATAGACTAGACTATAGACTAGACTATAGACTAGACTATAGACTAGACTATAGACTAAACTATAGACTAGACTATAGACAAGACGTTTTTTGCATACAATGAATTTTAACTAATAAAATTTAAATTTAATGTTATTCATTTGCAGATTCCGGACAGATGTGAAATATATCATTTTGCCGCTAAAATAAGTTTAAAATGTGACAATAATACCATTGTCTGGGTCACCATACGCCTAACATGTTAAATGTTTTTTATACATTTTAAGGTAAGAAATTAAAATGCAATTAAGTATAGTTTTATTGGAAAATAATGGAAAAAAATTCATCAGAACAATAGCACTGGATGTATAATTTGCAATGGAAATACATACACATAAATATAGGTACGTACGTACATACCTATTGGAACCGGATTAATTTTGAAATAACTGGAAATATATAATTTATGAAATATTATATTAAAAGTTAGAGTAAATAGTTATTCAAAAAAAGCATCGGTAGCAAATAAGTTTATCTGCTAATATTATCAATTAAGTTCAATCGAAATTTTGTTAAATTTGTGTTAAGAAAAGCATAATATTAGATTTTAAAACAGTTACACCCGCAACATACGCATTTGTTCGTTTGTAGCAAATTTTATTGATACAGATTATAAGTTATATTGCTGAACATCTGAATACTTAGTCAATGTTGTATAACAATCAGACAGACAAAAATAGTACATCTATATAAATTACAGTGGCAACTAAAAAAGCATCATATCCAACCTAAAGTATGCAATATTTGCTTTAGTTTGCTGATTAGTTGCATAATATATGACTTTAGCTGCTCTATACATTGTCGAAATTTACACGGTTGCGTTACAACTGGAAGACATCTTGTATGTAATATCGAAAAGTATCTTAATAAGTTATATGTACACATTTTCTTGAAATTTTCACAGTATGAAATCAACTATAGGCCATTTTTATGAGCTAAATTTTTACGGAATTTATCCAATATATAATATTAGAGAAATTGTAATTGCTGTAGTGTGAGTAATTATTGTCTATATAAAAATTGAATCAACAACTAGGCGTGCCAATGAAATTCATGAAAATCAAATACATGCAGAAAAAAACATGGTTGTGATAATCTAAGTGCAACATATTATGGTTAGATTTATTGTTATAATCTAAAAATATTATGATTATTATTGCTATGATAAAATATCACTTTATAATTAAATAAAAATTGCAATATTTCATCATAATATTTTTCTCTCAATCATAAAATTATAGTAAATTATAATATTTTGATCCAAAATAATCATAATATGACTCCAAGTATTCTGTAAAAATTTTGTTTAAAATATACATATATCGAATTCAAACTCTCACCATTACTACTGCAATATTATAAATTTATAATTGCCACCCGGCAAAAACTGTATTAGTCTAGTCTAGAACGCTTGATTATAGCTTGTACTCGTTCTAATTTGGCGTTGAGACCAATGAATTTGTTCGAAATTTTCAACTTCGGAACTTGTTCTGAGGAAGCGTTATGGAGTCGACACTAATTCTTTGGAACGGTTCTGGATCTAGTTCTTTAATCGATTATATTTGCTCGCATTTGTCAACCTCGGAACTAGTTCTACGGGAGCTTTAGAGAACGTTTAAAAAACAGTTAAAAACAATTATTTTTTCAGCGGATTTGCACCAATTTGTTAAGTTCCAAGTTTAATGTTTCAGAATCTGAAGTGGTTCCTTTTGCACTCGTTCTAGAACTAGTTGTTTTTAGAAAAAGTTCCTGGGTAAGAACATACATACAATTATTTACAGTAACTAAAATATTGCTTATATCAACGACTATTTGTTTACAACAATATATTGTTTCCAAGAACATGGTATAGTTATGGCAAATACTTCGAAGCACGATTTTTCTCTGGTACTGGTACTTTTTTTGATTTTAAAGTACTAAACAAATTTTCAACTAAACCAGAATTAAGACTAGACTATAAACTAGACCATAGACTAGACTATAGACTAGACCATAGACTAGACTATAGACTAGACCATAGACTAGACTATAGACTAGACTATAGACTAGACTATAGACTAGCCTATAGACTAGACTATAGACTAGACTATAGACTAGACTATAGACTAGACTATAGACTAGACTATAGACTAGACTATAGACTAGACTATAGACTAGACTATAGACTAGACTATAGACTAGACTATAGACTAGACTATAGACTAGACTATAGACTAGACTATAGACTAGACTATACACTAGACTATAGACTAGACTATAGACTAGACTATAGACTAGACTATAGACTAGACTATAGACTAGACTATAGACTAGACTATAGACTAGACTATAGACTAGACTATAGACTAGACTATAGACTAGACTAGACTAGACTATAGACTAGACTATAGACTAGACTATAGACTAGACTATAGACTAGACTATAGACTAGACTATAGACTAGACTATAGACTAGACTATAGACTAGACTATAGACTAGACTATAGACTAGACTATAGACTAGACTATAGACTAGACTATAGACTAGACTATAGACTAGACTATAGACTAGACTATAGACTAGACTATAGACTAGACTATAGACTAGACTATAGACTAGACTATAGACTAGACTATAGACTAGACTATAGACTAGACTATAGACTAGACTATAGACTAGACTATAGACTAGACTATAGACTAGACTATAGACTAGACTATAGACTAGACTATTGACTAGACTATAGACTAGACTATAGACTAGACTATAGACTAGACTATAGACTAGACTATAGACTAGACTATAGACTAGACTATAGACTATAGACTAGACTAGACTATAGACTAGACTATAGACTAGACTATAGACTAGACTATAGACTAGACTATAGACTAGACTATAGACTAGACTATAGACTAGACTATAGACTAGACTATAGACTAGACTATAGACTAGACTATAGACTAGACTAGACTATAGACTAGACTATAGACTAGACTATAGACTAGACTATAGACTAGACTATAGACTATAGACTAGACTATAGACTAGACTATAGACTAGACTATAGACTATAGACTAAACTATAGACTAGACTATAGACTAGACTATAGACTAGACTATAGACTAGACTATAGACTAGACTATAGACTAGACTATAGACCAGACTATAGACTAGACTATAGACTAGACTATAGACTAGACTATAGACTAGACTATAGACTAGACTATAGACTAGACTAGACTAGACTAGACTAGACTAGACTAGACTAGACTAACTAGACTAGACTAGACTAGACTAGACTAGACTAGACTAGACTAGACTAGACTAGACTATAGACTAGACTATAGACTAGACTATAGACTAGACTATAGACTAGACTATACACTAGACTATAGACTAGAAGACTATAGACTAGACTATAGACTAGAATATAGACTAGACTATAGACTAGACTATAGACTAGACTATAGGACTAAGACTATAGACTAGACTATAGACTAGACTATAGACTAGACTATAGACTAGACTATAGACTAGACTATAGGACTAGACTATAGACTAGGACTATAGACTAGACTATAGACTAGACTATAGACTAGACTATAGACTAGACTATAGACTAGGACTATAGACTAGACTATGACTAGACTATAGACTAGGCTATAAACCGTACTATAGACTAGACTATAAATTAGACGACATACCAAACCATAGACTAGAGTATAGTCTAGATTATAGACTACATCTATGTACAAGTTTAGACAATTGACTTTTCTGTTAACTATTCTATTGGCAAGTCTTTTGACAATAGTCGACTATCCATAACTATCCATGGAGTAATTAACATATGGACTACTTTTAATAGTTTGTAACGGTCTTAATGTATTGTGGGTATGAACTGCGCCATTATCTGATGTCAAAAAGTACTGAAGAAGGGACTTCACTACAAAATTTTTCCTTGCTATTTTATATTCTTTTTTGTTTAGTTTGAAAATCATATTCAAATATTTGAAATTTTCCATAAAATTTGTTAATTTTTTGAAAATATCCATGTGATATGACATTCCTCACTAGAACTGAAACTGGAGTAACAGTCCAAAACATACTCCAGTAGCAGCATTTCTATATCTATAGTAGTTTGTGAAATGTAAAATTCTTACATATCTGTTATCGTTCTCGACACATTATCCTTATACAAATGACATACATATTTTTGTTTTATAGTTTTTATTCTTTCTTTTCAAAAACTAATTTATTATAAATAATAACCATTTAAAACTTTTTTTTTTGCGGATTATCATCCGGCATAAAACTATACTTCTCCAGTAGGAAAACAACATGTTTTTCTAATTCCAACATGGTTTTTACACCAAATATCTTGGTTCGTTCATATTTTATTATTGTCAAATCTTAGTTTACAGCGATATCTTTTAAAGATGTTGATCTGCTTTTTATCTAATTTGATATGGTTCATATCTAGTATGACCACTCCATGTAACTACGACTTTATCTGATTTTAGTTTATATAATTTTTGTAGTAAATTTAATAACATTTCTTCCATTATCGGTCTATATGTTTTAAGTTGTTTTGCTTTCGTACATATGTACATAGTTGTTGTTGTTGTGGTGATCTCATTGATATTCTGATCTTCGTAATCATCGTCCTTTTATTAAATACTCATTATCTCTTGTTTCTAATCGATTACTCTCCTTTAACATTAGAAATGAAATATTATTTTTTTAAAATTTGTTTATTAGGAAGTGTAAAATTAAATTCTATTCTTTATAGTTTGGTTTCCAATTATCTAAAGATATCAAGGAAAATCCATTAACTTTATATCGTGTTTTGAATAATATATAGGTATATTAACTCCATAACGCCAATTTCCTTAATGATCTTTATTAAATCCATATACCTAGTCGATCTATTATATTATCATAAAACTTTTAATTCATGTCTACAATGTGGACATTTATTTTCATTATTATAAAAGTTCTTACATAGTTCAGGATTATAATTTAGAAAATAGTATATGTTTTTCTATTGAATGTTCTCTTCATAGCATATACGACAATTATATAGTTTTCTATATAATACTTCAAATGTATTTTTTGCTGAGAATTGAGAATTTTGACTCTCTCTCTCTCTTCTTGCAAAAACGTCTTTGTTTTGTATAATCTTTTCCAGTTTTCACTTTTTACTCAAATATAAGTTAAAGGGGCTCTCGAGTGTGCTATAACTCATCGAAACGACTAAAGTATATAAAAAATTTTACCAAAAAAATAACTAACAATTTTGAAGAACATTTTGAAAATAGTATTTGGGCTGATGAAACTACAATTTGTGGACCGGATACTTGTCGTTATACCTTCTATAAACATAGGAAGAGGGAAGCAGATGAAGAAGTTAGACAAATGTAAAAACTGCACTTTTAATAAACTTTAAAGGAGAACAAAGAATTGAACTAT